AGTGAAAATTTGATTCACACCGTATGCTTGAAAACTTTTCATCGAAAATAAATTAAGTGAAATTCTGTGTGATTTCATGAGAGTTGAAAATGAAAAAAATATATGACACCCAACCCTACCACTCCATACACAATGTAACCACACCTCAAAAACATCCTTTCACCAGTGTATTCTATTTGAATTCAGGAGAAATTTAAATAAACAAATTATATGACAACGAACTTAATTATAATTTCAACCTCTAGTTCAGCACTGATTAAATAAACTACCTCGTCTTTATGCCAACTTGAAGTTATTCAATGCCTACACCAGTGACTTCAAAATCTCTGTTTCAATTCCAGGAATTTCACTTGCTATTAATTGTATGGGAGTGCCAGTCTTTTATTTTCTATTGTAATGTCAATTTCTTGTGATTACTCGGAAAATGAAGCTGTAACCACAGACCAGAGTGCTGCAACTAAATCCTGGTATAAGCACCGGTTAGGCAGTCTTGAACTATGCATGTGAAGCCAGCTGAGAGGTATATCCAATCCTATAGATTTCTCATTGTTTGGTAACTATTTGTTGCAAATGCAACAAAAATCAATATAAAAATATTACCCACACAGCATTCTACAGATTACTTGTATATATAAGTGTTCGGGCGGGATCAATCGGATGTAATAACATAATTACCAGCAAATTCAACCCATACCCCTCTCTACAGTTGAACACAATCGCATCTTACGCACACGCATTTTGCCACCGTTCATTAATGCATCTTGCAATTAGCCGGATTCAGGGTTGTACAATCTGAGTGACAACTGAAGTAATACCGTGACGGTAGAAATCATGAGTTATTCGGAACCAGTTTGCCGGCTTATTATACTACAAGATGACAGACAACATGCAAGCAGCTAAAATACAGGACAATACTTGGTCAACAGAGGGGTCTATTTAGTATCATTTTTAATTAAAATTGTGAATCTACGCAACCGTAAATAATAATAGACTCAATGATGGACCGTTTAAATGATGTGTGAAAAGAAATAACAGAGACGAGAGTGACACCAGGGAGCTACAAAGTTTGTAGCTTCCTGGTTATATACTTTTAAACTGTGAAGGGTGTGATTAGGTGTGAACGTAGCCTGACGAAGTTGCCGATAGTTAACCATTTGCCCGGAAATAGCGAGACTGGGTGCAGAAGGACTCCTGCTTTTGTTATAACGGCAAATGCAAACATGTCAGTCTGTAATATTCGGTAACAGGAAATTTGATTGTGTTGACATCGATTGGTCCATCATCAAGCACAATATCACGCATGCGTGTTCAAATCACACCCCAATATATAGTATGCGCATGCATACGAGACGTCGTATCATCGACTTTCGGGAAAGTAGTCTGAATCATCCGGCGAGGGCGCAATAATTATCGCCGACCATGTCAGGCTAGTGTGAACGCCGAGTTAAAATATACACAGCTTTAATCTACTAATAAGGAATATACATGTAATTACAAAGCGCTCGAATCCTTCATTTTTCGACACGTTTGAACAAGACTTAGCCGTCCCATGGGAATCGGGTTATCAGATCGATTGCTTTCATTGTTCTTATAACACCGTATCTCACATTTTAGGCAGGTTGACCTCGAAAACAACGTGTTTGAGTTATACAGCTGATGCGATATCTCCGGTCAGACAGGTCGACTATTACCTACTGTATTGATAATTTAAAACTCGTGCTATAAAACAATAAATCATACGTAGTACGACCCAAGTTGTTTATTTTTGTCTCCTTCAATTGTTTTGAAAAGTCAAACTTTGCAAACCCCAGAACAAATATTCGGCCATCATAAAGAATTTAGAGTCAAAATACTCGTCAACTTAAAAAAGCGCATTTTTTTATATAAAAGTTCATAAACTGTTATCAAACTTGAAAACTAATGTTTTCTTGGGTTTCGATTTGAGGGCGTACTTTCGGACGTCCCACTGTTTAAATCTCTTAAAGTCACATGACCCGACTTTTGTTTAAAGTTGCATGTAAAATGAGACGGGGTGACCCAGTTCAAGACAATTGAATGTTGGATATACTCGTTAACTTGTTAACTTTCACTCGGTACATTGGAACTTAAGAACCGATCGACTCTGATTCAGGCGAAAATTCGCCGTCATCGTAGGTCAACACCACAGCGTAGTCCGAGACAGAAAACGTTTGATTGTCGACTCGGGGTGGTGTTCCGATCCATTGAGCAGAAACACAACACGATGATTCTTTATAGACTTCACCACAGTCTTAAAGATCGCGGACAATTAATGAGAATATTGATATTATTTATATTTCTTGGGTTTTTATCAACGGACGGCTCTGCGATGGGGCACCACAATCGAAGGTAAGTCGCCGTTATGGAACAGCTATAACAGTGTACGGTCACAGTTACAGTGGTCGACTTGCCACGAAGTGTACACCCGCTGTACACCATTAGCAAGTATGTTGTTATTTAATGGTCTTCCGTACGCTCCATTGCGGTCGAGTTAATATGTGTATAATCGGACATACCCCATGTGCCATGCATATGTGTATCAATACAACACTGCTGAGTTTTTTGTCGTAAAATTTCTAATAGGACGCTGAAGAACGTCGATACGTGCATATTCTTGACAATATAAAACATGTTATTCAATGACATTTAAACATTTTGACAGCAGTATTGACGTTTTGTGAACGTTGACCCAAAGCAATAAGCGGCCGTGGTGACTTCTTCCTGACCACCCCAACGTTTGCGTGCCGAGATGATGTCTTCGCGTGCCTGTCACGAACATAGTATACTAGTAGGCTCATTTAAACAGACGTACATATAACGGATTGTATGTTATCAGTTATTTATGGGGTTGATTTTACTATATTATTATGGCTTATGTCTGGTTAATATCAGATTAGCATTAATCATACTTGAAAGCACATTAATTACATTATATTCTGAGAATCGTGACTCTAATGGGCTGTACCACTTATGTAGAGTGTAGTCGGTAAACAACGTCAATGTCTTTGAAATACAACTAGAATGTTTCTCAGTAAAAAAAAAAATACGTGCCTACACGCGCACACCGTGTGTCCAGTATAACGACTCTTGAGTATGTAGCCTTCCACCTTGCCCCATCACTAATATTGGTCAAGACCCAATTATTAAGTTATGTCAGGTGCAATATTTACATGTGTGTCCCCCACGTATATTTAGCATCCATCGTTGAGATAAAAACGAAGCGACTCAGTATGGTAAGTGAAGTCTTATGCAACAATATTCTATCGCGGTTTGCACATGTCACTTTTTTTCTGAATACGATATGTTTAAATTGAATGAGTACTTTGAATTGGGTTAAATAGACTGTCGTCTTCAGTACAACATCTTCTCTTTATGCTCTTTGTCAAATTGTATAGGATAGTTATATATCGGTCTTGGCTTTATTCGTGTTTCCTATCTTTGAGTGGAAAATTGTAAAACTGTGGAATAATAAATCCCGCCCACCGCACTTCCGTTGACAGATAAAAGTCTGGTCTAGCATCAATGAGTATATACCTCTTACTGGTACGTCGATTGTACAATTCCTTCTCGAACAAATATGTCGCTTCCCCTCAATCACATACTTACGCCCGACCTTACATCGACCCCTGATCACGAAATACCAAACCGCGATATAAAAGGGGAAGCGAATCCCTTTTGGTCTATTCAGACTTACAGTGTAAGCTCCAGTAGATGATCTCCTTTCATGGCTGAACCCTACTCGGGACATGTTTTTACCCTGTGGGCACAGCAGCGTAATTAGTGTTGGTAGTTGACCGAGCTAGCAAAAAACAGGTATAACGAGTTCATCAGCACGTTGCGGAAACAAGTCAGCCGTACGCTAGTTCATGATTGACATCGCCATGGTTACACCATTTTTTCACCATCGTTGTACAAGTTACCTCGTGAATGGAATAAAGTCAACACAAAATACAATCACGTGATAAATTGTATCCACACGCGCCTTGGCGTGTAAATATCAGTGCCAACATAAAGTGGCCGTAAACAGACTAAATGTACTCTGTGTTGCGCAGTTTAAATATCCATACATCGTGAATACGTGGGACAAAAGATAAAATTGCCAGACACATATTTTGAAACTGTTAAGCCCTTAAAGTGAGAAAGATGCGGTTTTTTTTGTCATATTTTAATTACCTGCTTTATTTGTTTAATAATATGCGATTTCAAAATAGAGGATTTCAAGGTAGAAATGATATCGACACACCTTACCTAAAGTGAACTATAACAATAGTCACCCTACATAAATAATGGTTCACCCCTAACAAGTTTGCGCCCGGTCCAATCTGATTGAAATAAGATCTGTTTTGGGCTATCTAGCATTTTCTCAGTCTAATTTGTTATTTGAACGAACGGTTTCACTTAATACAATGCAATTACGCTAAAATTCGAATTTTATGTAAACAAACAATGTATTTTACACGCGTTGTATACGTCGCTATGAGTCCCATATCGAACACGACGCGGCGCGACGACCAACGCCCTTTGAAGGCCGGAGGTCGTCGCGCCGCGTGACGTATTCGAACACGCACTGCGCAACGACCACCGCCCTTAAACGTGGTCACATCGCCTGGTTTGCTATATGAAAACGGTCAAATTGTCCAGTTTGAGCACTGTTTCTCGTTGAACTGTATAAGTTACAGTGGTCACACGCAATGGTAGTCCCCCCTGTGGGTGGGCGTCAAGGTCCACACCATTGACACAAGTGAACGTGAGTTCATACTGGTCGCTAAACCTCTATCACCATATTCTGTGTGTATGTACATTAAGATTACATTAAGGTTCTAGTAAAAGCAATATTGTGTATTTGTGTATGTATATAATTGGACAGGGAAACTATATACAGGATTGAGATGGTAGGATAATTCAGATACATAGCTATGAAATCTCACAAACAGAGCCCCCCAACAAACACACACACACAGTATTGGGCACCTCAGTGAAATTATTTAGTACGGGTTAGATTTTTGAACCCGCTAGAATAAAGCCCTGCTACTAGACCGATATTTAACCATGTATAGCATGGCCTTTGGTTCATTTATTTATTCAAGAGTTATGTTGTTGTGACAGTCAGTCTGTTCAATTTACCGATAATTCGTTGGAATAAATCTGCTTATGTTGGGATGTATTTCAATACCCGGTATAAACGAACTTGGTATTTATGTAAGTGGCAAACTATGGCAGGGCCCGGCTAGCGCAAAACCTACCGTGTTCTACTGTGCGAATTTCTTTGCCATTCAAGTTCCTGCATTATATGTTACTGGTCACGGCAAAAGTATGTGCTACGAAAATGAAACTTTAATTTTTTTAAATAAAACGCCTCTAAGATAATAGGATTTAGGAAAACGGGTCTTAAAAAACAATATAATTACTAGTTTGTATATCCGAATTTAAAATTCATCTTCAGCCTTTCCAGAATATTGACCCGAAACTCTGTTTTGTCATGGTTCACAAATCCGTGTAAGCCAATTAATCAGTCTGGCTTGGAGTGCTGTCCATTATATTCCAATGAAAGACAATCCGTAAACTACTAGCTGAGAATTTTATTTTTCGAATTCTGACTGAATCCATAATTCTGTAATGACTCAAGATATTCCCTCACAAACACATGTACGTAACAGCGGAACTGGGTTGAAATTATTGACCGGGAATGTGAAATAAACGAAGTTTGGTGATAATGGATTTGTAGGAAAATATTTACCGAATACGTAGGGGGAATGCAGGTAGATATACAATGAATAATTCAATATAAATAAACTAGTATATTCTGTTACTTTTTGCAACGTGTGCGATAAAACATGGAGATGTGTGCAAAACTGCAAAACTTCAGATGTTAAAACTCACACGAGGTGTTTTATGGTGCTCTCAGTGATTGCAGAGTAGACGCCGCGTTTCCTCCCATTGCGCGAGTAAAGTTCATTTGTGGGTCAAACGATAATAAGTTTACTGTATGAAGTGTGTGTAAAGTGTTTTTTTTCCAAAAGAGCATATGCATGTGAGTTGTCAAAATGGTACTAATCGTATGTAGCTGCAACTTGTCAAAATGTGGTGCTATTCTACGACAACGCTTTGTATACACAGCGAACGAGCTTTATAATTCTCTCTCCCACTTCTTTGAAAGAAACCGGCTGTCATAACTTGAAAAAAAAAAACAAGTATTGAAATTACATTTATATCAAATCCCGCGAGATGTCAAGGATTAATTGCAACGAAACTTTCTGACGTGTATCCGCCGTCTTCGTCAGCCAAGGATCAAGGTTTGTTTTGCCCCCCCCCCCCTCACAACTTTCATGGCGGCACGAAACTGCGGTTCGGACGACATGTATTATGATAAATCATATTTAAATAGTTTAAATGTCACGTTACGTATATAGGGCACAACTCGCGTGGGAAAGTAAGGTTTGAGAACGTCGCAATACGTACATTTGTTTCTGACACTGAAGAAAAACTTGAGAAGACAATCACGTGACTGAATTACAGATAACCTCTTACCATTCCTAACTGATATTTGTTTTCTTCAAAATTGTTATATCTGTTAGTATAATCGCAACTCGAAATAACACTTACAAATCTAGTCTAGTGGGTGTAGTAAGCCATGTTGCAGTACTCCAACTGATCGTTGTCTCAATGTTTGCAAAACAACTTCGAGGGGCAACAACCCTTGCCCCGAGGAGATATCGATGTCTCCAGTGCTATTTATTGTTAATTGTGACGTCAGTAACCCTGAGCACTGTGACCCCCGAGACAGCCGAGCTGTAAAAGAAGTCCCTGTGAGATGGGAAGTCGTAGTTGTGATTATTTTTCATTATTCCCATCCTTCTTTCACTGACACAATACCCAGTCGCAATGACAATTGAAAGGTCATTGACATTGTCAGGACGTGTGCACTTTAGATTTGTCTTTTGCTTTCCATTCAATTTCAAAAGTATATTTTCTCCATGCATAGAAGACAACCCAGAAGCGGCAGACTAGCTAAATGTGTGCGCTACAAAATCTTTATGTCTGGGGGGGGGGGGTCTTAACTTGTTACCATAAAATTTAAAGTGGAAGGGCCGTCACCTGCGCACGCGCGAGAATTGAGTCCCAAGCGACGATAGCAACACACGCTAAAACGCAAAGCCTCATGGTAGACGCTTGTTCGTAAACAATGACACGCCATAACCATCTGGCGCAGGTGACGACTCCCCCACTTTAATAACTTTGTGGTTTCCTCATAGCGTTAAACCATAATGTGGCGGCCATTTTAAATAAACATTGATTAAAATAAATACAACTAAATACATTATCATAATTCTAAATCTAGAACGGTCACC